AATCTCTCTAATGAAATAAGAGAAGCCAAATTCTTTTCTATTCTAGCGGATGAAGCTGCCGATGTTTCAAATAAAGAGAACTTATCAATTGTGATAAGATTTGTGGACAAAAATAAAACAATCAGAGAGGAGTTTATTGGTTTTCACCTGTGCGAGGAAGGGACGTCTGGACGTGCTATTAAAGACTCGATCGTTTCAGAAATCACCGATTTAGGACTCTCCATGAACGATTGCCGTGGACAATGCTACGACGGAGCAGGCAATATGGCTGGTCGGATAAATGGAGCTGCTGCACTGAGCACCAGGGATCACGAAAAAATAATATACGTCCATTGTATGTGCCATCGGCTAAATTTATGTGTCGCAGATTCATGTGCAATTGAAATTGTCCGAGATATGATGACAACGGTCAGAAAGATTTCTCAATTCTTTGGAAATTCTCCTAAACGGCAACAGCATTTAGAGGAGAAAATTAAAGAACATTTGTCTGACAATAATCACACTGTTCTAAAGAATGYTTGCAGAACTCGGTGGGTAGCAAGAATCGATGGAATGGATAGGATTGTAGAAATGCTTGTTCCTGTGACAGATACCCTGGAGGACATTGCACTAAATAGAGATGGGAATGGGAATAGAGGACATGGAGATTGGAACATTGATAGCAGAAATGACGCTCAAGCATTATTAAATGCCATCTCTTTTACGTTTATTGTAGCAATTGTAATTGTTAGGCACATCCTTGATTTAACTAGACCGCTAACTCTTAAATTACAGAGAAAAGAGATTGACCTTGTAAAAGCAAGAGAAGAGATTACTTTGCTGAAAAATGCAGTTGGARATATGAGAAGGGACATTGATATTAGACATCAGAATCTCTACACTGAAGCAGTAACACTTGCTGGCCAAATTGGTGTCCAGCCCTCCATGCCCAGAATAGTGCAGAGACAAAGAAACAGAGCTAATGCACCAGCTGCTAATCCCTTAGAATATTACAAACGCAATTTAACGACACCTTTCTTAGATCATTGTTGTCAGCATATTGACACAAGATTTCAAGAGGAGGTCTACACTTGTTATAAAGGAYTTTATGTCACACCTTCTATAATGCTAGATAATTTAGATTCATGGAAAGCTAATGTTATGGRATTTTGCAATGGATATCGACAAGATCTACCTAACATTGCTGGACTGGATGCTGAGCTAATAATGWGGGAAAGGTTAWGGAGAAACCAKCAAAATAGAGGTGGGAACATTCCTGACAGAATTGCAAAAGCTTTAGAGGTTGTTGATCACCAGGCATATAGTAATATTTTTACTATTTTGAAGCTTCTTACTACAATCCCTATCTCATCAGCCACATGTGAGAGATCAATTTCAACACTGAGATATTTGAAAACATATCTCCGAAGTACTATGGCTCAAGACAGGTTGAATGGACTTGCATTAATGTATGTCCATAGGGACAAACACATTCAATTAGAACAAGTAATTGATTTATTTGCGCAAATGCATTCCTATTTATTCAACTTTATTTGCTATTCACTTAAATTGTAACTTAATGTGCAATGTGTATTAAAAATTTGTTGTTGTTGTTGTTGTTGCATCCAAGGCGATTGAGGATGAATGGCATTATGCACAACAACCAGTAAATAGTTTTGATATGTATAAACTTATACTTATTTTAATTATGTATATGACAGACTTAGTATGTTGTTTCGAGTATGGCACTAGTGAAGAAAAATGCTAGATCCACCCCTGATGTGCATGATCGTCGGTCGTCCAAAGACGTAAAAAATAACTTCATTGTTTTCCTTTGACACTTTATTAACGGCAAACGACGGCAGACTACTTTCCTTCGTTGATACTAACATCCAAGAATCAATTATATTTGCTCTAATGTGGTCTGAAAAAAGCGTGTTCTCAAAGCTCACTTCGCTTAACGATCTACACGAGACATTTCAACGTTTTAACTGATTGACTGTACCATTTTACAGTTCTTGAACAAAACGAGAACTAATAACACTATAATCTACTGTAAAATTTGTCAAAACTCGATGCCGGAGAAGTACCAGTAAAGATTGTAACGGCAAGGATACATGCGTGTAATCCTTCCTTGTATGCATGAGTCTCACCAGGGTGCCAAAATCATCATCACTGGCGCGCAGCGCTATTAAATTGTTGAATAGGTCCGAGACACATTTATTCCAAACAATGGAACTGTTGCATAAAGTTTTAGCGATTTTATACAAAAAATGACATTTATGGGAACCCTGTGTATGGCTTTATTAAGGCGTGTTCCACTCACCACTGGGATTCACGGTGATTTTTTGTTGCTAAATACACCCTAGAAGAACATTTTTGCAGCAACAAAACTTCTGTTGCCATTTTTTTCATCAAATTACCCATCAGAAGCTCAAAGCATCGCTGGACGAATATAACGCCGTCTTAATAACCCTATATATTATTGTGCATGTAGACAATGGGAAGTGCTGGTTTTAAAATATTTTTTGTTGTTTAGATATGTGATAAATTCAAGACCCAAAATTGGAAAACGAAAAATCCAAGAAGAGGGAAATATCAAGCAGGAGAGCAGTGATGATGACTATAGGTATTTATTTAATTGTAACAACAACCCTGATTGAAATCACAGACAATGTGCGCACGCTCTAGTAAGAGACAAACCTTAATTATTATCTATACTGTATAACCGATCAGTCTTTTCAAATTCCTCAGCTATAGTGAAGAAGATGCTCGTGTAAGCTTCATTCATCGCAGTAATGCAGTACCAATTGAAACCTGCTTTTTGATTGCTCCTTAAGTACAGCACCACTATTGTTAGGTTAGGTTTTGTTATATTGTTGGAAGACTTATCTATTGTTTGTCCATTGTTTTCTCAACCTATCACGAGACCCGTTCCGATCGGTGCTACCTGGCTCATTCATCGACGGGATCTACTGCTGTCACGACTGAAAAGGTAAAATAATACAACTGAGCTACCAACTCCGTTATATTTAAGAAGAAAGTAAAATCAGGCATCAGTTGTCCAAGGCATCTACGTTTTTTATTGTTTCCATTTTAACACTGATGATCTTCTTTTTGTTATTTCTAGGGATGTGGGTTATCATCATGAAAATAGAGAGATACCCTTCCTCGAACTAGGAAAAGTCTCCTATTCATCTACAGAAGTAGCTATAATTCTTCTCGAAGCTTTGCAGCTTGTCGCAGCATATAACGTTTGTACAATAGTCCCATGCGACATAGATTGTAGTTCAAGCTAACTTCTTGACATTTCTAAACTTGGAGATGCTAGCGACGTCACTTGCGGTGGAATGGGGGCCTATAAGACCCACGGCTCACCAAAAGAGTACATTTATGTACAGGAGAACTTCGATGGCGGGATTCTATCCTGTACATCGAGGAGAACTCCCTACTCACAAGCAGAGCTTCTAAACAAGAGTCTGGAAGATGCCACATGCTACAGACTGGAACGTGTATATTCAAGACTCAAGTGTTCACCCGACCTCCAACGAATATTATACCGATTGAAAAGAAAAGACGAAGTGTCCGGTAACGATGCACTACGCTTTGACTCAAAAGATCACAGTATCAAGCCCGTCTGTCATGGCAATGCGCGAACAAACTTTCGCCCCTATAAGCCAACAAAAGGCAGTGTACGACGAGCTTTGGAAGTGGCTATGGAAAGTGATCCCTCACCGTCATTAGTGATGAACAAAGTGAATAACGCTGCGGGAGGATACATGAGTGCAAAAGGCTCAGGTGAGTAAAGTGACATAGAAATGAAAAGAGATTTTGTAAGAATAATTTAATTGCAACTTCAATTTATACATGTACAAATACATTTGGTTGTCAGTATTTCATTTCCAGTGTTGATAGTTTATGTTCTGAGACGTCTGTGTCATACTTCGTGAGGGTTATTTGATATTGAGCTTTCCCTTTCAATTTAAACACATTCAGTTGGGGACCTTGTACTACAACTTCATTAGGCGTATATTGTTTTCTTTTATTTTACGGTTTTCTTATTATTCCAGGCACTGTTTAATCAGCTCTTCCAAGTTATTAAAAGCTGCATAGTTACTTATCTAACCTTAATTCTATTTTTTCAGGAGAGTTGTGCAAACACCGTAGGCAGGTTGAAAAACTAAAACAAAAAAAGAAAACTGGTCAATCTTCTTCGTTCCAGCCGTTGCAATTCGGAAAGAAAGATGAACTAGCACAAGTGATGGAGCGGTGTAAATCGCCAAGAAAAGGTGAAGAGTTCGTCCGAGAAGTTTGCGGCGCTCCTGACCCGAGATGCGTTCTCGTTGATGATTGGCAAATGCTAGATGTTGTCGCATTCTGCTGCTCAACCGAAAGACCCGCCAATATGATACTTGGGATTGACCCAACCTTCAATCTGGGCGAGTTTTACGCCACATTTTCTGTTTATAGGCATCCTGGCCTTGTAAACAAACACGGAAGGCATCCCCTTATGCTTGGTCCAGTACTTGTCCAGTACTTGTGCATACAAGAAAGACCTACCAAAATTACCACTACTATGCCAGTACTCTAACCCGACTTAACCCAGGTATCCGTTTCCTAAAGTGCTTTGGCACAGACGGAGTGGGGCCATTATATAATGCACTTTCCGATGTGTATGGAGAGGCAGAACATCTTCTTTGCTTCCTCCACGTTCGAAAGAATATTGAAGCCAAATTGAAAGATTTGGGCTTCAATCAACAGCAACAAAAGCAAACACTAGACGAAATCTTTGGTGATTCTTCAGCAATTGATGGACTAGTAAATGCCAGTACGTCGGATGAGTATAAAGCTATGCTTAATTCATTAGAGGACGTGTGGGAGAGAGAGGATCCAGTGCCACATTCTTCACTTGGTTCCAGAAGGAAAAGGTATTTAAAATAGTCAAGTTGGTTTGAATTTATAATTTTATCGGTATAGGGATAATTCTCTTGACCCCGTCTACTGCGCATCTGAGCACACTTTTGTATAAGTGAGTGCCGCCAAGAGGAAATTGGTCAATATACATAAAATCAGCCATTAAAAGCACTTAACGTGTGTGTATATTTAGAGCACAGTTTGGCACAATGTTAATTTAAATGGTTGCGCAACGGGCGCGTTTTCCTATCTCTAGCGCTAAAAACAATTCGTTGAGCACCTACTTTTTGGTGCTATTTAATCAAAATAGATCTTCCAGGTAGTCGGGCTTTTATACGGAAGAGTGCATGGTTCATAACATGTCTCTCTATCTCCGTCTCTCTCTCCTCTTTAGGCAGGACTGATGAAGGACTGTATGCTGGCAGGGATAAGATCTAGAAATGGGCTCGGCAACCCACCTAAACAGTTTACCACCAATGGCAATGAAGCAATGAATGGGAAGTTCAAAGATTGGCAGAAGCATAAAAAAGTAGATTTACCCCAATTTTGTGATGATGTGAAGGCATTCGTGCAGCAGGACCACGCAGTGGTTCAAGCTGCCTTTTTTTCCAATGCTGGCGAGTACCAACTTCATGGTTCATTCAAGCAGTTTGCTGTAGGAAGTAAATGGTATTCCATGAGTCTGCAACAAAAGAAAGAACACCAGCAAAAATTCCAGAAGTTCACCGCTGGATATTCTCCCGACATTTCTTCCACTGGAGGCTCGCACCGAAGCTCAGACGGGCCCATGGAGGCTATCATTGCAAAGGCTTTAGATATGATCACAAATGAATTGATCATCAACTCACCTGGAAATCCAAATAAGGCCATTGTCCATAGCGCAAGTGAAGACAACCCGCGCATTGCGACAAAACAAACTCGCAAGTCAGGTGTCGAGATATCCTGTGGACCTGCAAAAGGTTGCCTGGGTTACGCCACATACAACGTCTGTGCACATACTCAGGCTTCAGCCGTTTTCTGGGATTTAGAGGAAGAATACCACCAGTGGTTAATGTCTTCAAACAAGACATGCATTAACATCCACGCCTTCTTCCCGATGGAGCAGGGAAGAAAGAACACCAGAAAAGAGAGAAGTGAAAGTCTATAAGAAGGCCTGCGGCAAGCTGCATTCAATGAGCACCAGTCCCCTCTCCATTGGCATGGTAACCAGCCAGCAATCAACATCAGCAAAGCACAAATCTTCAATCAACTCCAGGCCCCTCTCCATTGTCATGGCAATCAGCTCCAGGCCCCTCTCCATTGTCATTGATCGGTCAGCGGCACCGGCTATGGTTGCCACATTGTTGTGTTAGTCCGAATTTATCTGTGTTCATCACTGTTAGCCTTGAGCTAACAGTCCATCATGTGGCCTAATTTTGTTCCTAACGTGCCCCTTGCGGTACTGATGCAGTTTGTTATCAACATTGCCTCCACCATGGTAGTTTATGGGCAACAGTGCTTGAGATCACCACAAGTGGTCCGCCATATTGGATCGGCACCGAGTCTCAATCAATCGAGACTTAGTTATTCCTCCACCACGCTGAAATCCCTGCGGAAATCAAGCCCAAAAACGACTCTATCGCCTGACCTGTGGCATCAACTTGGGCAACTTGGGATAAGAAAGCCGTTTAGATCAAAAAGGAAGAAAATTTGTCATCGAGAAGCAGGGACGCCATTAAACAACGGTCATCCTGTGCATTCCACAGCACCCCCATCAGCACCTGTCGCCACTACAGCCATGCCGGCTGCCACAGTTCGGAAGAATATCCTGCCTCGAATGTTGATTTGCAATACAAGATGCCTATATAACAAAGTAGACGAGTTGGAGGGCGTAATTAGGTATCCGGTCGTTTCGATCCAAAGACGTTTCGATCCAAGTTGTTTCGATCCATTTTTAGGACGTTTCGATCCATTGTTAGGACGTTTCGATCCACTTATATAACAAC